CAGAGAGCGAGAGAGAGAGGGAGAAAGGTGGAGAGTACGAGAAGGAGATTGAAGAAAGAAAAGTAAAAAAAAAAAAGCCACGTCCGATGACGAACCATTGTGCCGCTGCTGCACCACGATGCCATTAATTACACTCAGTCTGCTCTGTGGTAGACATTCAGATCAAAGGTCATGCATAGATAATCCGAAGAGGGGAGTGCGGTGCAATAGTGCAAATAAAACCCTATAAAAAATAATCTGACATCGCCTGGCTCACTTGGCAGCCACACACAGACGCAAATCGGGGACAGGGGAGAAAAACAGAGGGGGTAAAACGCATGCAACTGGACGCCAAAAATATGGACGGACACACACTCAGAGAGAGAGAGAGAGAGAGAGAGGGAGAGAGTGAGCATCACCTACCAGGTTCCTGTTGAGAAGAGCTCCCAAGATGCTACCAGCCTGCGACCGTGTAACGGCACATTACTGCGAAGCGATACGCGGGGGGAAAATAATGCAAAGATGCGAGAAGACGCACAGACATAGGCTGCCGGAGGAGAGCGGGGCGAGCGTGTGTGTGTGTGTGTGTGTGTGCTCAGAGCGCTCAAAACAAAAGGACCATTTTTATCGACTTTCTTGTCACGTTAGAAAAAGGTCGGAAAGTGCATAAATAAGCCAAAAGGTGTCGTAGAAAAAAAAGGAGAGGGGAGAGGGGTTAGGTGTTCCCTCTCCTCTTGATCCGGGGGCTGTATTGTGTGTGTCTGCCTGGTCTCTGCTCAGTCCGTGTCTCCTGTCGCTGTGTGTGGCTGATTGGTGCTGAGGTGAGGAAGCAGGGATGTGGACACCTACTGATCATTGGCTGGAAATTACTATAGAAACACTCGGGAGGTGGGAGGGATGGATGGCTCAGGGCGCCCTACAGGGAGAAAAATATCTGCTGGAAATATCTGCGTCTTGCAACCTTATAGTGGCCTCTTTCATAAAATATATTTTTTAATACAATTCTTTTATGACGAGGCATTTAGGGAGGAAGGAAGGAAGGGGGGGTTGTCATTTGCCAGATACGTCTTTTAATAAGGATTGGGGAAACTTGTCAAATTAATTTGAATGGAGCTGAGCTGTGATTAAGATAAAATGCCTCCGCCGGGTTGTTTTCTCCCCCCCCCTCTCTCTCTCCGTCCAGCGACAGCCATAATTACTAAGACCTCCGGGATTCATCACCATTATAAATCCCGCCTGCTGGCCACCCATGCCTACAGCTCCCACAGGCTGACAACACTCGGGCACGCATGGCACATTTATTCCACGAGCTCCCATGTGTGACACCGTGCGTTCATTCATGTTGAAGCCTATAAGCTTTTTAGTTAAAATAATTATGACTCCAATCAACGTTGCGGATTATTTTCCCCCCACATCAGCATTTATCTACGAGCCTCAGGGTGTAGTTTAGAAAAGAAAAAGTTAACATAGGACCATCACCTCTGTAACTCCACTGAGTCCACCCAGTGTTGATTGGCTGTAATATTACTTTACATACTTTTACCACACGCAATTCTGTAGTAATACAACAAGAGAATAATAAAAATGGCGTAATTAAGTCATTATAAACTCATTAGAAGCTGATACAAACCTATTTTACATTAGGATAGCCTTTTTTTGGTACCATCCTATGAAATGAGGCATGAGACTAATGGCTTTATTAATGGTTAATAAATCACTTTGTAATGCAGTTATCAGCCATAATAATAGTTTTGTGTTGCCTCATTGTGAAAAACTAATCCTTTCTATTTGGTAATAATGCAGTTGTAAATGTTGGCAATCCCTTTGTAAATGCTTCTTGGTTTTCTCTCTTTCTGATAAGAAATCAAGTCTGAAGTTACACATGTTTATTAAAGATTAATACAGGGTTTTAATCCAACAAGTCTGTAGTTTTGAAGGTTAATAAGTTTAATAGATTTTGGTCCAGATCGTCTACCCAGTCAAAAAGATTTATCTGTTATGTTCCAGAAGCCCAAAATTGAATTGATTGACCCTTTTTTGTCGGACCAAGCGTACAAACCCCAACAATGTTTGATTTCATATAATAGAAAACCAAGAATAGCAGCAAATATTCACATCTGGAGCCAGAACAGAAACTAAAACCAGTGATTTTTGGGGATATTTCTTTGCAGATTATTTTTTCCATCAATCGACTAATAAATCAATTGCTCAATCATTTCAACTGCACATGACACACCACTTAAAATGACATGTCACAGAGGAATAAACAATCCCTGCATTGCTTCTACTTTCAGACAGGTTTAGGTGTAAGTAAACAAACTGACAGCTACACTGACACATTTTTAAGTCATACAGCCCCTCTAGGTGAGCTGTGTGACACAGGCCTATAGGCTGCTAAAGGCTACACTTTAATGAATTTATTGAGAGCTGGCAATAGATAGGACTGAGAAAAACCAAGGACTTCTACCTTAAACGTTTTACAATCTTTTGTAAATATCTGTTCAGACCTGACTTCAGAATTAACAAGTGACTGTTTTGTAATTGAGATATCCTCAGTTCATTTTCCAAGATTCTACTTATTATATTAAAAATAAAACACACACAAATGGTGAGGAGGAGTATAAATGCTGAAATTCACTGATACATCATTAAAGATGCTGAACTCGTAACCATTCGTTATGCGGTCCTGTATTTTGATGACTGAGTCGACACGCTGCCACACCTACAAAACACCTGTTCACACCCACAAATTACCTGACTCAAAAAGAACTGAAATGTCCTCTTCTTCATTCAACAGCTGTCAAATGATCAATCTCTTAACAGCTGTCAATCATTGTAGGCATGGTGATGTACCAACTTGGAAAGACTTTTGAGGGGCGCAACAGATACTTGTCACTGAAGTCCCTAAGCAGCAGTGGTGTGTGTAGGACCATGGTGTAGGATTTAGTGGCATCTTTATATATATTATATCCAAATTCTGCCAACAGATCATCCAAAATGTTACAGACCTTTAACAGAGCACTAACAACAGCAGTAGGTGTTAAAGTATAAGGTGAGTTGGGTTTGGATTTAGGTTTAGATTGGTAGGGTAATGACTAGTTGTATCTATCAACCCACCCCACTGTCCTCCTTTGAGCTGTGATTACTTTATATCTTTTTTAATCTATCAATGTGAAGTCATAGTAAGTACTAGTTAACACACTCCGATTTTAGTGTTCGGTGCAG